TTTTAACTTTACCTTGTATATTCTAAATATGGAGCTCATCCGTTAGACTCCAGCTAAGTTATCTTTTAAAATAAGGGCAGTAGAGTTTATGAAAAGCTGGTAGCTCTTACGAGAGTAATGCAGATTACTTGAGCAATCCATTTATTGATTTCAGAAATGTTGGTTATTGTTAATGGTTGCTATGATTTAGAGATAAATATAACCGTTTCTGTGTGAAAGTTCTTATTTGTTTAATGCTGTTCTGAGATCTCTGAAATCACTAGCAAAAAGAACATTTTTCTGATGGACTTTTCCTATGTTAGCTAAGGAGCGCAAATGGATAAGAAATATGTATTTCTCATTTAAGCTGTAGGAAAATGCATAATTAACTCTGCATGCCTCTCTGAGTCTTCCTTCTTCCTTCATTAATCTCTTGTCTCCAATAACCTTTATCCTGCAGTAATCCTTTTCTGGGACTAATTTTTCTTTCTGGCTTTAGCAAAATCATTTGCAATCAGAAAACCTTTCTGTAAGATAATTTAATATCTTCTGTTCATAACTGTCTTCAAATTCTTATTTTATAAGCTTCTTCTAACCTTGTCACAGTTGCAGATAGTTTTTTTTGTTTTTTTTGTTTGTTTGTTTGTTTTCTCTCTAGAGCACTGATGTTTTATTCTACATTCCAGATTTACTGCATATGTATGCAACTGTAGGAAAAATAAACAATTTTCCTTGAGATATACGAATGTGCAAGTATAATATCTCAATGTTTGAGAATTTCAGCTTGAAGTTGTGATAACCTTGTGGGTTGTTTTATTTTTTTTTTTCTGGGTCTATATGTTTCTGTTGGTTTTGGTTTGTTTGTTTGTTTTAGGTAATAAATGTGGACCTTTTGCACATTGAAAACAAAGCTAATGACATTGTTAAATCAGACAAAACAGTTCAGCTTGTGCTGGGACAACTTATAGATGAGTAAGTACATTCAGAAGCAACAGGTATAATTCCCACCTCTTCTGTTTTTCAAAATGCAGCCTAACTGTCTGGCCAGCTCCTTGCCTTCTGGTGCAAAATAATTTCTCTTGATTGGCACAAGGGCTGCTTGGTAGTCAGGGCTGCTTTTTCGCATGGCCAGTGAGGTTCATCTCGGCTGAATACCTGGGGATTCATGGAACAAAAGCACTGAGTGTTTCTGCCTAGTATCTCATACTTAAGAAGCTTCCTATCCAGGAAGATCCTGGGTCTTTGTTTGCAGCACCTCAATCTCATCTACTCTGTAGCCTCACTCTCTCAGCTGCAGGCAAACCCTCTCATTTTTGCCCAAGTCGCCTCACAAGTGACAAGTTATTTCATGACAGTCGGTGCACTGACAACTGCAGAAATAATATTTTTATGGGGTGCCTCAGTTAGTGACTGCATTGCAGGATTTATCCTTGAAAGGAAGGTAAAGCTCCTAGTTCTCTTAAGATAATTAGCAACAACTTTGTTCACTAAGGCTTTTTCTAAGTCTCCTTGACATATTTTCCTGATCTTAGTCTTTGATGCTTTCATAAAAGCAAGTAAGTGGCCAATTCTAAAATTGGCTGCCTGGATAGCAGGCTTTAAAAAAAGAAAAAAAAATGCACTGACATTGTTTTCCTTTTTTTCATTTAAAATAACTTTTAGAATATGACTGAAAATATGCAATATGAGAAAGTATAGTACCAGATGTACCAATTAATAGTGCTGCAGGGAAGTGCAGATTGATTTTTTTGAATTTCATGTTTTTGTTTTTTTTTTTCCCCCCCTCCCCTTGTGTTCAAATAAGGAGTTACCTAGATCAATTAGCAGAAGAAATAAACGATAAACTACAGCAAACTGGCCAGGTGACAATATCGGAGCTCTGTAAGGCATACGACCTTCCAGGAGACTTCTTGATACAGGTGATGCAAACCACCAACCTAGCAAATATAGAAATGATGCTGAAGAAATGTTCACTTTTCTTGACATTTTTGTGATATCAGTGGTTTTAATTTTGACAAACTTTGATGTATTGAAGAGTTGATGTAGGGTTAACCTCATCAGTCTCATTAGCTATCCAGGAAGAAGAAATACTGAAAGTTTCAGATTATCCAAAAAAGGTAAAATAAATTTAGTTTCTAGAAGCTGGAGCCAGATACTCAGAACAGAAACAAAAAAACACTTAGCTGTGTAATGAGTGTAAGTGTTCACAAGGGTTGTGGTGTGTTTTAGTGACTTTGACTGAAAGTTGGATATTTCTTTAAAAGATCGCATTTTTCAAATGGAAATTCTGTGGCTTGTGTTAGATGAGCAGTCATACTTGGTATCTTGGCTGTCTTGATTTATGAACAGAGTTACTCTTTCTTGCATAATCAGTTTTTGGAAAAACTGTTCTAGAATAAAAAGATTACTACACAGTTTCTTTCACTTCCCTGGGTAACCCTGATGTTTTGGTTTGCTTTGCTAGGATTCACATTTGTAAACTATTTGCATCTTTTTCATGTTTATCATTTCATAATTTTCACCTTGACTTTTAGAAAAAATAGGAAGTGAATTTTCATGCCATTGGTTCATAGTAAATGAATAAAAAGGTTACCTAGTTTGGATTATGCATATTCAAACCATACTAATTTCTTCCACAAAGTTCGTTTTTCTTCACTAGATGCACAATCTATTGAAGATTGATAGAGGAGAGCATTATTAGGGAAGTCTAATTCCCTGGAGTTTGGAGTGTGGCTAATAATGGCTTGAATGCATATTTAGCAGCAGACAGTCTCAATATATACCTCACTAGTAGTTTTCAGATGTAATTCTCATTTCCGAGGAAATTATCCTTTTTAAGAAAAATAAATTACTGATTAGGTAATACGTATTTATACATATACTTTTTATATATATATATATA